TATTAAATACATTATATTATATATATATATATATATATATATATATATATACCGTACATACACATACTTTAATACATTTAATATGAAATGTATACACACATATTTAAATTGGATGCATTAGGATGTACTTTAGATTATATATTCATATATTAACACAAAATATTACAAAAACTAGTACAAAAATGTATATTATAAATAATATAAAATATATTATTAAAGCTAATATTATAAAAAATGATCAAGTATTAACTTAAAAAAATTTATTATATATACATGAATATTTTATATGATATATTCATTTATTAAAATATACACAACTATAAAAAATAATTTATTAACTTATTACGTTATATTAAAAATACATAAAATTGAATCTAAAATGCAAAATAACCTTTTTATTTCTCAGATGATAACTGGAAGCTAAAGTCATGCCACTAGCGCAGCATATTATTGTTTCAAATGTTTATTCGTCTGTGCTAAGCCAAATCTAACCAGAAGAATTTAACCAACCAGCACAAGCATTTGTTTTGCAAAGTCAAACACAATTCACATTTTTCTTTAGAAAATCTACATTACATTCTATTAAACATATGATTTGTAAAGCAGTATGCAGTATACAGAATAAACTGCATCCTTACTGTTCTGGGATCAGGTTTCTTGCTCTTCCTCAAGGTGACATAAGAGGCGATGGTGGAGGATTCAGGCATGGGTGATTTAGTCCTGGGACTGACCACTCCGACGGGGTAAACTACACCTGACACAGAGACAGAGAGAGATCAGCGGCCAGCAGGAACACCTTTAGGACTTTAAGTGATATATGCAGAGATAGAAGTGATAAAGAGTTATGTTTGATGTGTTTGTCAGGCACCTTTGGTGACACCGGGCGGCTCTTTCTCTGCCGTCTGCTCAGATTTGTCTTCGCCGTTGCTCTCGTCGACCTCGGCTACGGTGGTGAGCTCCGGCTCGCTCTTATACAGTCTGTAATCGGGCCCCTGAGAGCAGAGATTTCACCTGTTTACACATGATTTACCCATTCTGCTGGCATTGCGTGAAGGTTATGATCACGGATTATTAAAATGGGAATAAAAAACAAACTAAGCCTCACAAAGGATGAGCTACAAACCTACGCAATGCTGCTGATCTACTGGATGTCTTACAGGAAGCGCTCAAGGAAGAACGTTTGTAAAAACCAAGAGGTTAAAAAGCAAAAAAGCACTTGAAATAAAAACCAAGTCAACCCAAATGGCTTTTTGAAAAAAAATGTTTTTTAACATGAATATTCTGCCCAAAATGAAAACGGTGAACTATTTCTTCATTACAGAAGAAAAAGGAAAAATGGCACCATACAAGCTTGTAGTGATATGAGGATGAGTAAATAATGACACAAATGGCTTTTTTAGGGTGAAATATTCCTTCAAAAGCTGGTATCTAAAGATTAGGCGACTCATATAATGCAGGCACATAATTTATGCAATTTACTATTTCAAATAGGCTAAATAAAATAGAAATAATAATTTATTTCATTTAGAAATTTTTAATGGTTGCTCTTATTGGTATTATTATTATTAAAATATACTTCATTTATTTATTTTAATAACACTGAATAACCTAAAGTATAGGTAGTGGTTTTATTTTTTAATGTATTTATTTATTTGACAAAGTTAAATAATGTATAGGTGGTCAGTATAAATTAAAAACAAAAATTGGGGAAAAAAATCAGCCAGAAATTGTGTAAGATGTTAAATCATGTATAGGTAGTCAGTAAAAATTTGGAAGAAATCAGGCAAAAATTATTCAGAATGTTAAACAAAGTATAGGTGGTCAGTCAAAATTGAAAAAAAAAAAAATATCTGTCAGAAATTGTTAATGATTTTAAATTCTGTACAAGTGGTCAGCACAAATTAACATAAAAATTCAAAAGAAATCAGGCTGAAATTATTTAAGATGTTACAAAATATATGGGTGGTCAGTAAAAATGAATACAAATTTAAAAAGAAAATAAATAACAAAAATTGAAAAAAAAACTCTAAAAAAAAAAATATCTGTCAGAAATTGTTAATGATTTTAAATTCTGTACAAGTGGTCAGCACAAATTAACATAAAAATTCAAAAGAAATCAGGCTGAAATTATTTAAGATGTTACATAATATATGGGTGGTCAGTAAAAATGAATACAAATTTAAAAAGAAAATAAATAACAAAAATTGAAAAAAAAACTGAAATTGTTTACAGTGTTAATGTAAATGTGGTCAGTATAAATTGATTACATAATAATTGGGAAAAAAATCTGTGTGAAATTGTTTATGACATTAAATGATGTATAGGTGGTCAGGAAAAATTTACAAAAATTGGAAAGAAATCAGGCTGAAATTATTTAAGATGTTAAATAATATATAGGTGGTCAGTAAAAATGAATACAGATTTTTTAAAAATCTGTCAAAATGTTTATGACGTTAAATGATGTATAGTTGGTCAGGAAAAATTAACATAAAAAAAATCAGACAGAAATAACTGAATATCCACTGATGAGGCTGAGATAATGGGGAATAAACGCAAAGCGGATGTGTTTTTTTCATCTCAGAATGGCAGATCGCTAACAAACACAATGTAATCTCAAAAGCAAACTGACGCTGGGTTTCTGAAGCGATGGCGATGGGTTAATGAAGATGGGATGGGATGGGCGAGGGGGTCACAGCTGCGTCTTACGCTGTGGGCGCCGTTGCGCTGGGCGGCCTTGCGGTCCTCGGGCCGGTGAGGGGTGGTGCGAGGCGCGTGAGGAGGCCGGTCTCCCCCCTCATAAGAGTACGGGAGAGGAGGACGCAGAGGCACTGAGTCTGACTCCTACACACAACCCACAGTCACGGCCAACAACCAACCACAGCAGCACAATACAGGTCAACTCGTGCTGAGGATCGTTAGTGTGTTTCTGTGTGTGTGTCTGTGTGTTAGGGCTGGGACAATAAATCAATGCATCGCGATTCGTGGATCGATTCGGAGATTTTCGGAATGCATCGTGATTCTCTCTGTAATCGATTCTGAGCTTAGTTTTTAATAGCAGATAGCGCTCTAGGCTAGTTTTTAACCGCACGCACAAATGCTCATGAAGAAGAGCGCTCGTGCATTCGGCTGAGTAATGTAAGTGGTTAAATGTACTTGCACATCGGCTTTTATGCTTTTATGATGCGAGATTAATGTAAACACAGCCCACTTATGAATGATTATTTTAGGTTTAAATGGTGTGTGTGTAAGGAACTGGAAGCAAGCAGAATACGGCTGTTTCTAAAGCACGCAGTGCCATCTGCTGTTAAAAACTAAGCTCAGAATCCATTCAAGAGAGAATCGCGATGCCTTTGGAAAATCTCAGAAACGATGCAGAATCATTTCTCGAATCGCGATGCATCGATTTATTGTCCCAGCCCTAGTGTGTGTGTGTGTGTGTGTCCGTGCGCTCATTTAAACAATTACACAAACATTATCATGAGGTCGGGAATAATCACTTACTTCACTTTTATGCAGGTTTGACAGGGGGTTTGCGCCAGGAAAACCTACAAATACAGAAGGAGGAGGGTAAAATCTTTATGAATTCATGGCTGCTAGTGTTGCTTTTGTTAACTAAAATGAAAACTATGGTTTCAGTTAATTGAAATAAAGCTGGAATTAAATAATAAATAAATATAAGATGAAAAACCCTGACAACTAGCTAAAATGCGTTTAAATACTAAAATCACTAAAACTATAGTTTAAATAAAAAATTAATTCAAGGTAAACTGTGATATAAAAAAAATTAACAGACTAATAAAAATGACAAAAATGTAAATAAATAATAAAATTTAAACTAAAATTAAATTAAAAATTAAAATGTTAATAAATACTATAACAGTATATAAATAATATTAATATAACTAATAATAACTGCTAAATAGCCGGCAAATTAAAAAACATGTAAAAACGATAATAATTGCAAAATAAATCTTAATATATGAAAATGCATGATTTAAAATAAGACATTTTGAAGTATAAATATAGAGTTATAAAATGGAAATTGAAAAAAAGGTTTACAAATTTAGTTCGAGGTATTATTGGAAAGTATTGTAAAGATAAATTTTCATGACAAAATGTATTAAAAATACATGTGAAAATGATAATTGTAAAATACTGTAAATATTAATATATTAAAATGTATAGATTTAAATTCAGACATTTTAAAGTATAAATCTAAATACAGAATTATTAAATGGAAATGGGGAAAAAGGTTTACTTTAATGGTATACTTTGTCTTGTGTTATTATTGAAAATTACTGTAAAGAAATTTGATATGAAAAAATATATAAGATGCATATAAAAAGTACAATAATAATTCAAACATAAATTTTAATACATGCAAATGTACAGATTTAAAAATACACATATTAAAGTATAAAACTAAATATAGAATTATAAAATGGAAATTGGAAATAGTTTTCAAAATATATTTTTGTCTTGTTACTGTAAATTACTAATGAAGAAAAATGTGCATGAAAAATACATGTTAATAAATAATAAAAATACATAAACATATAAAGTATACAAATTGTAAAATAAATCTTAAATAACATGAACATTTACAGATTATAAAAAGATTTAAAAAATTATAATTTTCATGCTGAGGCCAATAAAAACACTGGCAGAACAAGTAGAAATCTGAAGAAAGTGTCATTACTGTTGCTCATGTCTGTTAGTGAAGTGTTGTTGATTATCAGTGAGTTGAGTTGTTGTTCTGAGTGTGTTTTTCTTGTTCTCTCACTGGGTTCTGCGTTTCTCTTGGGTTTGTTCTTGTTCAGCGCCTCCATCACATCCTGAATCCTCCACAACTCCTTCTGGATCTGGACGTGTTTCATCTTCAATATACACTATAATGCCAAAAGTATTGGGACACCCCCTTCTAATGAACAGGCTTGATTACTTTTGAGCCAAAAACTCATCACAACAGAGATGGAAAAACAATTTTTAAATACATGAATTATGTTTCCATCTTTGCTGCCACAGTTTTGGAAGTGCCTTTTCTGTTCTAAAGAAGGGGGTGTGCCAATACTTTTGTCCATATAGTGTATGTACAAGTCACTGGTGTTTAGTGATGAGTTTTTGGCTCGAGGTCTGCCTTCACAGCTGGATTTCTGCAGACCGGTCAAGTTCTTCCACACTGACTCAATCAATCATTTCTTTTTGAACCTTGCGTTATACACAGAGGCACTGTCATGTTAGAACAGAAAAGTGTCCTGTCCAAACTGTTGCTATAAAATTAGAAGCACACAATTCCCTGGAATATCATTATATGCTTAAACATTAAGATTTGTGCTCATGGAAATGACTGAAGTAGTCAAACCTGTTCATTAGAAGGGGGTGTCCCAATACTTTTGGCAATAAAGTGTACATTCACATACTGCTAGCATTCAATCAAACGCGTCACCTGTGGGCTCCCGAGGGCCTCGAGCTGCTCCAGCAGGTTCGTTTTGGCCATTGTGACGTCCGCCTCCAGCCGATCGTACTCCCTCCAGCTCCGCTCCAGCTCCTGTCAGCAGCACAGCATTATGGGTGAGCGACTGAGAGCGCGTAGCATTGCATCAATCAAAGCAAACGGAACGAGGGACGTACGGCGCTGACACGCGACACCTCTCTGCAGGTGCTGAGCAGGCCGCTCTGCAGGACGTCCCGCTGCTGGATGACGCTCTGCACCGCCGCAGGGTTTTCAGCGCTCATCTCGATCTCCTGACTGGCCGACAGCAAGGCCGTCTCCAGCGTGTGCTGCAAACACACACATGCACGAGTGAGACGGCCGTCACAACCCACTGCGAGACGCTGAGGAGGGACATGTTTGCTACCTTTTCTCTGTGGAGCTGCTGCAGTTTTTCTGCTTGATTTCTCACTACTTTATCCTGCTCACATAGTCGACTTAACTTCGCCTGTAACGGTAAAAATATACACCAATAATTATGACAGAATAATGGGTACGTTTCTGTCTCCAATGAATGTGAGTTTGTAAAATGGCATGAAGAATAATTATACAAGAATTTGGGGAAAAATCATTTGGAATAAAATAAAATGTTTAATTTTATGTAAAAGTTAAATAAAATACCCATTTATATACACTACCGCTCAAAAGTTAGGGATCAGTAAGACTTGTAATGTTTTTTCAAGAAGTCTCTTATGCTCATCAAGACTGCATTTATTTGATCAAAAATACAGAAAAAAACTGAAATCTTGCAAAATGTTATTACAATATAAAATAATGGTTTCCATATATATATATATATATATATATATATATAAATTTAAATAAAATACAATTTTTCAATAATTATGATGTAATAATGGGAAAGATTCAGTCTTCAGTGAATGTGAGGTCATAAAAATGGCATGTAGAATAATTATAATAATTATAAAAAAACCAAATCAAATACCAGTCCTTCCTTCCTGGTGTCATATGAAACATCAAAATGTAAAGACAACAGCAATAATTATGACAGAATAATGGGTATGTTTCAGCACCCTGAAAAGCTTTAAATGACGTACAGAGCAGTATTTATTCTTACTTTGCTCTCAGACTTCAGTAAAAGTATTATGATTCCATATTTAGTCCATATTCATATTCATCTCTATTCATGCCTTCGAACATTGTTAATATAGCTTGATAAATTAATGATCATCCACTAACATGCTATAAATACATCTTGAAGACTATTCATCAGCATTTTTAACTTAGCTG